GGAACAGTGCTTTGAAGAGTGCTTAGAAGCAAATATGTTAGATGTATAAAGAAGAGCCAGAGATGTCCTCCTGAAAAGTCTTGGTGAATTTTGCCCTTGTATGAATGAGGTTGGGTCATAGTTACCAATTGGTTGACGATGAATTATCACACTAGCGAAATAGGATGGTGTAAATTCTCAAGTCATTTTTTAGTGGGTGAGAATAGTGCATGATGAGAATAAGAAAGTATGCCCTTCCCATCTAGAAGAATATGATGATCACCTTCAAGAAGTGATTGAATTGTCTATTAAGCCTAATCAGAGAAAGGAAAAAGATGAAAAAAGAAAAAATGTATATTTAAATGTAATTTTGGTTTAATTTAAACATCCTTTTGATATTGCTTTTAAATTTTTATCAATATAGAATCATGTGGCCGTTCCTTGGGACATTGAGAACTGTCCCAAACCAAGAGATGTACATGCAAAAGATGTTGCCGGAAACATTATGCTGGCTTTAGAAGCTCATCCAGCCATTAATGGTCAGGTGAAAATGCTAGCAGCATGTGGAGATTTAAAATCTACTTCAAGGGAAGTAGCTGAGGCATACCGCAGGAGTGGTGTGACGCTTGTACATGTTCCAAGTATAAGGAAGGATGCAGCTGACATGGAGATTGTAGTCGACATGTTTCTATTTGTCATGGATTATCACCGGCCTGCATCGATTTTACTCATTTCTGGAGATGTTGATTTCGCTCCAGCTCTTCATAATTTACGTCTTCGCAGATACACAATAATTGTTGCCATTCCGTCTCGGGTGAAAGTTTCAGACACCATGAAGGAGGCAAGCAACTACATATGGGAATGGTGTAGTGTGGCCGGTGGGAAGCTGGGAAAAACAGCTATACCTCGTCAAATCGAAGAACAAAAGGCAGCTGAAAGAGAGCAAAATACCTTGAACCAGAGATTGCCCTTGAAAGATCTAAATGATTTGAAGGGACAGATTGTTAAGTTACTGGAATGTTCAAGGGGAAGTTTGTCCCTAACCAAACTTCCTCGGGCATACAAGAAGAAGTTTGGCAGGTCCCTGTGTGTAGATGACTATAAGGATTTCCAAACTTCTTAGAAGAATGGAGGACTCGGTGATGGTTGAGGGAGAAGGCATACATAGAGTTGTCTGTCTCTCTAAGTCAGCAGGTGTCAAGGATGCTGAAAAATATTAGAGACGGACCAATAGTCGTTGAAAAGGTTAAGAATCAGAATTTTTTGATGTTTTTGTTCAATTCAATTTTGAATGTCCAAGACAGAGACAAGGTTTAGAAGGATAGCATTTTTTGATTTTTTTTTTTCAATTCGAATGTCCAAGACAGAGACAAAGTTCAAAAGGATAGCATTTTTTTGATTTTTTTTTTTGTTCAACTAATCATGTATGTTCACCTTAAAAGGATTTACACAACTTCATTTTTTCTACTTTTTAACAACTCATTCTCCAAAAAAATTTACTATTCAAAAAAATGGACACCAAACAATGACTTACTATATTCCATGTCCCCCGTTAAAAGGAGTATAACAAAAATTAATTAATTTGCCAAAGTGTATGTTAGAAAAAAGAATTAAACTCTATGGACTAGATTCTAACAAAATAAATAAAATAAAACTTCATTTTTCAAATAAAGTGACTAAGATTAATGTTTTTATGTCACATCTCTTTAAAGAAAGAAAATTGTATATTTATTTTTTTACAAATATATATTATTTGTTTTTGGTTGCGGTCACTGTTTGAAGAGAATTAAGTTTTTGTTTGGCACATTTTTTAATGTTGATTTTTCATAAACTCTTTTTCAATCCCATGTTTTATCAAAATCACAATTTTTATCAATTTTTCAATCATATAATTTATCACTTTTTATCAAAATTTATTAAAGATTTGATTTTTATCTAATTCATATAGGGGCCAAATAAAAAGAATAATAAAACAAAGGTGGAAAGAAAATACGAAAAAAGAAGTGCTTAGTCGGGGACATGTGCGAGAGAGTTGGCTCACGTGCATCGAGGAACAAAAGGTTGGACAACTATGTTATATTTACATCATGGATTACACGTTGGTTTACACTCTTCCATGTGAC